CGTTTACGAGTAAGTTTAGCTATGTTAAAATGAAAATTAAACGATATGTTGGATTATCTAACATCACATGTCGTGTTTAGATAGTAAAGGAAGAAGCTATTGAATTGAGAGACAATATACAGGAAAAATTCGTAAAAAAAGAAATCGAAGTAATAAATAGTGGTAACGAACGAGAAAATATAATTCAAGATTATAGGTTCGTATAAAAACATATCACATAAAACATATTAGGTATGTTAAAAAGTATGTGAATTTCTCATATAAAAATTCCTATACTTAATATTCTACTTTATTCTAATTTAAAGGAAACGTGTCATGGAAAGAAAAATAGAATTAGAAAGATTAGAAAGAATGATCTTCTCTGTTCGTCCACGAGAGGATTACGATTCTGTACAAGCTAAGATTTATGGACGGGATGCAAAGAACGAAATAACGGAGAAAGAATTGACAAGATTGGAGGAAGCATTTGCCAAGCTGCACAACGTTACTGGTGTCTCCATGTCGGAGGACATTTTAAACCGGTTTCTAGGACAACGGACGACCAAGGAGAATCTTCAAAAAATGAGGACCAACATGGAGAAAGAAAAAATGGATCTCGAGAGAAAAAGACAGGAATTGTTGAACGAAATCGAAACTCGAAAATTTACCGAGACGAAAAATGCCGAAGAGTGAGTCTTACGATATTATTAATAAAAATCAATGTAAAATATTTATTAAAAAAAAAAAAAAAATAAGAAACAAGAAAAATCAATTGATTACAGAAATGCTGAAGAAACAGAGAAATTGGATAAAAAAATGGAAGAAGAACATACTCGTCGGAATAAAGCGAAAACTGAATGCGAACAAATTGGAGAACTATTAAAGCAAATAGCTAAAGCATTAGGAAAATTGTACGATAAATTGCAAGTAAGTAAATAGATTAAAAAATATAACACTAATTAAAAAAGACATTTCAACATTTCGATTATCGTTAAGTACCACTACCCGTTTTCTTGATCATAACTTAGATGCCGTAGGCGTAGCATGCAACCGATAAGTTATTATCTTACAGTAACCGCTCATAAATATGGATCGATTGATTGTATTCAAGACAACTAAACGCAATGCGGAATTACATCGATACGCGCGTATACTATAAGGCGTGTAGGATTAATCTATATTAAAAAAAAAAAAAAAAAACTAGAAAGAATGTTAAAAATAGATTAGACTTTATAATTCAGAAGTTTAAAGTTCAATATCTCGAAGAACAAAGGTTTTTCAGTACCACTGTCTTTAGAGAGATCTTTTTATCAAAATAATTTAACATTCCTAAAAAGGAGACATCTATAAATCCTTAATGTTTCGATGTATCCCTTTAGAATTTATTCCTACGGAATGTCGTCCTTTTTATCTTCAAATCAGAGAAAATCTTTCGAATATAACGATGGGATAGATCAACGACTAATCGTATGCGTATCCCACACGAAGAACATTTAACGTATTCGAAGCACGATTGTAAAACCCTACGAAGAATTAACACGTTGTGAAAGGAATTCCGAAAATCGAATTGGCCCTTCGGTATATACCTATCGAAGCTTCGTTCGATGGAAATAACGTGTAAATGACTAATTAAATTAGTGAAACCGTCTTTAATGACCTCCACGACCATAAATGGGCTTCTCTTTGTACGTTAGAATCAAACATTTATTTTTTGAGTTTAACATCCTCAAGTCAACTGATATATCGAGAACCGATGGATTTTCTTTCGAACTGTTTCCTGCACTGTAATTCTCACCTCGTCGCGATGCATTAACACCTTCGTACTTGATCGAAAACAAACACTTTGGAAGGAAACGCGTGAAAAATCGAATATTGATTTTATCGATGGTGTAAGTTACATAGCCTAAAGTTCGACTTGTTAATTAAACTTCCAATTCGTTTACTTTGTTCGTCTAATCAACGTTAGGGTAGTTGTATTATTTAACATCTAGCCTATAAAAATAATATTATATACAGTGAGTGTGTATATAGAAAGTATTCGTACATCGATCAATTTGAAATAAAATGTTATGAAATTGTAATTTATTAACTAATTTTGTATACACAATGAATTTATACATATTCTTGAGAGTATATATAAAATCATAATAAATTTTCATAAAATGTACATTTCTTATATCTGTAGAAATTTAATTTTTTGTTTGAAATTATAAAAATAAGTGAAAATAATCGTAATATTCGGTTTGCCTTATTTATGCATTTTTCGATAAGTAATATTGAAATAGGGTTTCTTCCTATCTAAATAAATTATGTACGTGTGTATGTGAGTTTACACATATATTTTAATTTTTCAATTTTTTTATAGAACACAATGGATTTAAATATTATTATCAAAGAAGAATCAAGTGTACCATCTGAACCATCAAAGCTATTAATGTTGTTAAACGAAATTGCTCCAAAACTGATCGATGTTTTTAATAAACAAGACATGTACTCCGAAATAGTGGATGATGGATTAACGGACAAGGTTAGAAACTTTCTAAAAACATGAGAGATTTGACATTAGTTATTATCTAAAGCATATCGTTGAATTTTACTGATATTTTACAGCTTGAAACAATGTCTATCACAACTTCGTTAGAAGGTAAAGCCATACGCGTTGAAAATGCTCCCCTCTTTTCAAAATTTCCAACATGGACATCTTCAGCGATACCACCTTCAGAAGATGAAGAAGAAGTACCAACAAGAAATATCTTAAAAAGACAAGCGCAACTATTAGTCGACACAAAAAGTCGAAGAAAGGGATTAGGTTTCAAAAGATAAAATTTACTTAGCATATAATTATAAAATTATTATTATTATAAAATAAACTTTTCTTCATTATAATAGTATTTAAATGACTCTTACAAATAATTTACTCTTACATCAAATCATCCCTAACACACGTTGATAAAGAACGATATCAGGTTCTTTGCAAACAAAAATAGTAAATATAATAATATTCGATTCAAAGTAAACAATTTGAAAAACGAAAACGGAAAAGAAAAATTATTGTAATATTTAACAAACATTAATTAAATTTTAAAATCTAATAATACGCGAATCTATAGTTTATACGTAATGTAACTATATAAATTTATCTATACAGTTTTGACTGTAACTACAATAACTGTACACCTGTGAATCTAGAATTTTACATGCAAAAGAAACAAAATGGTCTATCATTTTCAATTATAATAACTAATACAAATTATTAACGCACGAGCAAAACAATAATACAATAAAATATAAAAAATAATTATTAGAACCATTCTCAAAAGATTCAAACATTCCGTTAAACCTTTGAAAATAACTCAGCAGCCCATAGTTGCCCTTTTCAGCCACGGTTAAGTGGGGGCTTCTTCGGTATTTAGCCTCTTCTTTACTTTATGCCCTGACCACTGCATTCGGACATTCCTTAGATGCAAGCATGAAAAGAGTCTTTGATTAAAAACATAACAAAAAAAAATTTAGGCTAGTAGCAACGCCCTCTCTTATCGAACCTCAAAACTTATTGAACAGCCTAGTATGTCTTTTTGCTGAAAGGAAAATTATTGACTAAGCAAAGTATCAATTTTATTCTAATACCATGCTATTGTAATATGCCAGATTATGATTCTATAATTTAGAAATAACATTCTAGCACAATTACTCTTAATTGCTTATAATACTGATATCAATGAAATATAATTTATATTATAATATATGATTTATATAATATAATCTATGAAATATTTTCATTTATTTTCTTCCATACATTTTTTTTTTAATATTTCCGTTTTTCTTTATTACTCTATTTATATCACAATTATTAAAAAATTAATTTACATTTCCCGTTAGCTATCCTTGCTCGTGGACCATCTTAGAGTTCATTGACCGTGTACATATACAAGAGTACATTTAATCTAATGTCCGAGCAGATAATAATTCTAATCGATGACCTAATAACCCTTCTCACTTTTAATTTCGAGTAATAAAATCGAATTAAAATAAATAATGGAATAAATGTAAAGCATTTTCTTGCAAATATTTTTATATCATTTATTCGTTATATTGAATTGTATCAAATATTTCTAATTGTAAGACAAAACCTCGATTGTGCAAAATGCTACGTATCAAAAGCCTTGCGGATTTTATTCGACTCTATTTCATTCGAAATAAAATCAAAATAGAAATGAATTTTTTAAATGATTGCTAATCCCTTTGAATCATTATACGTAATAAATATTACAAAATTGTCACAAAATATAATAATAGAAAAAAAAGCACGAAAAATATATATATATATATATACTCCTCAGTAAAAGCGTATACGGTACCTTTCCTGGATCTTACCTGCTTAAATCTAAAGATTTCACATTCATTCAGAAAAGTATTCTACCTGCCTCCCTCTATCTATATTTAAAAAGAACAAGTATACATACCAATGTATTCATTCTACAATTCTGTTATATACCAATAGACTGCAAATTCTTAAACTAGGGATGATTCATGGACCCGGAGCATCTCCGACAGCCCAGTTCAACTTCTTCTTTTCTAAACTTACATACAAAACAAATAATGAGATTAGTGAATAGGATATTATTTTCCTTGTAATGATTATATATAATATTTTATATATAATAAATTTTAAATATATTCCATTACAAATAATATTTAGTTAATTAATATTTAACATAAAATATTAAAAAATTCTTATAATGGTGTATTTAGATAATTTTATATATCTATTGTATATCTTTTATATTTAATATTTCATATCTATTATAACATCAATTTAAAATGACTACCTTGGTCATATCGAAGTTCGATTAAAATTTCTTAACAAATATTTTTTATATTATGATTCTAATTTTTAGTTCTATTATTTAAAATAAATTAAAAGAAAAATTATGGCAAATAATATATTATAAACAGAATTATTATTTAAAATCAATTATAGTCGTAGAAAATCAACAAGTACTACCAGAGTCATATTCATTTCTGAAGTTTTAGTTGATGTCTTGCATTTGTGTATATATTTTGTATTAAAGATGCCGGCACAAATGCAAAATAAAGTTTTAATATACGAAGGGTGTAATTATTTAAGATATCGTCTTTTATTATCGACGTTATCTGGAAAACCAGTGCGCATAACTAATATAAGAACTAAAGACGATGATCCTGGATTAAGAGGTTAGGTTTGTTATTACACACGTGTTATGGTTAGAATCACATTATATATTAACACATATTAAATATTATTACAGAATATGAGATAAGTTTCATACGTTTATTAGATAAAATTACTAATGGTACTAGAGTAGAATTGAATGAAACAGGTACATCTTTATATTACAATCCTGGTTTATTGAATGGTGGAGAATTAGAACATGATTGTAGCTTGCAGCGGGGAATTGGATATTATTTAGAAGCTGTCATTATATTAGCACCTTTTTGCAAAGTACCTATTGACATCAAGCTTAGAGGAGTAACGAGTAATACATTGGGTATGTAACTTCTTTTCTGTATAAGAGAAAGGTTATCTTTAACTGAAATTTTTTTTCTATATTTTGAACAGATCCATCTGTGGATAGAATTAAAGCATCATGTATACCATTATTAAAAAGATTTGTAGTGGATACAGATATCGAGCTTAATATCAAAAAGAGAGGAATGGCACCGCTAGGAGGTGGAGAAATACATTTTAAATGTCCACTTTGTCGTACTCTTAAATCTATACAAGTAAGTTCTATTTTTAAGTATCTCCATTCTTATTCTTTCCCTATTATTGTTGCATCTTTGTTATTATCCTTCTATCTCTCTCTATTATAAAATTATACATTTATTATTTGTAGCTTCAAAACAGTGGTATGGTTAAACGTATTAGAGGACTTTCTTGTAGTGTGCGTGTTTCACCAGCAATTGCCAATCGTATGGTTGAATCTGCTAAAGGTGTATTATTAAAATTTTTACCAGATATATACATACATACGGATCATTGTAGAGGTGCAGCTAGTGGCAAATCACCAGGTATTTATCGAGTATTAATTAATAAATTTACTTTTCTCAATATTTTACGCTACTATAATATGGATATAATAAATGTATCAGGTTTTGCTATAAGTTTGACTGCTGAAACAACCAATGGTATTTTTCTCAGTGGAGAGGCTTGTTCACCTTTAATGACAACAGGTTCTTTACCTTGTGTACCAGAAGACCTTGGAAAAGAAGCAGCTATGATATTACTTGATGAAATTTATCGGTAAAGGAATAAAGAAAGCTTATATTTAATCTTAACAAACTAAGAAGATTAATTAAAATTGTTATTAAATACTGTCTGACTTAATTTCAGAAATGGATGTGTCGATTCTCCATTCCAAAGTATGGCAGCATTATTTATGGTACTTGGTAAAAAAGATGTGTCCAAAATTGTAACAGGACCCTTAACCCAATCAATGTAAGTAGTATAATATTATGAATAATATATTATATATATAAAGTATAATAAATGACTAGAGTAAATAGTCTCGCCTCGTTGAAAAAATTAGTTCTCATAAGATCACTAAAGTCTAGTAAAAATAAACACAGTCAGTACTTAGATGAGTTACAACTTTGGAACACCGTGTGTTATTGATCCCAAAGAGGTAATAAGAGGTAATAAGAGATAATATGAAAATATAGTAGACTAAATTTGAAAGGGTGTTGTAAGAAAGTTCCTCATAAACCTGTAAAAAGAAGAGTAATAATGACAAATAATAGACTAATGATTTAATATTTTTTTTGTAGGATACAATTTTTAAGAGATTTACGAGATTTTCTTGGAACAGTTTTTAAAATTGAATCTGTTAAAGAAGAAGATGAAATAAAAGACCAGGTAACCTTGACTTGTGTTGGCATAGGGTATACTAACTTAAGTAAACGGACATTATAAAATATTTATATTAAATATATTTAAAGATAATTTTTTAAAAACTTTAAGATATAAGTATAAAATTATTTAAAATTGTACATAATATTTTCCTCACCTGCACATATGTTCAAACATTATACTTTAATTGTTATTATAATACAAAATCTTGCAAATATAATGGCTTATCTGGCCAAGAAATGAAAACTTCCTTCTTTAATTGGTTCCAAGTACTTTGATATTGAACAGCCGATTGCTTGCAATCGTAATAAGTAATTTTCTTTGGATGAAATACATTTGTTTTAATACATTGATATTTATCACAAATTTGTAGACATACTTTTAAAAGTTCACGTCGACTAACAAGTAAGTAATGGCCTTTCTTTTTTTTAGTTATTCCTTGTTTTCTGCCTTGTACAGCAATCTCTAATTCGCTGTAGACATTTTATGAATTACTAATATTATTGTTGCTATCACATTCACAACAGTATTTTATAAATATAAAAATATATACCTTTTTCTAACAGCACACCATATAATACTTGATGGGCATGGATTTATTCTTTTTCCTTCTTTTCTCTGAGCAAAAGCAATGTCTGCTTGAAAGATTTGTGGTACGTGCAATTTATTACTGAATCTTTTACATAAGCCTCGTTCCATGGCTTCTAACGAAAAAGGACATCCATTACCAATAGTAATACTTTCCAATTTTATTTGTGAAATGAATAATGATAACAGCGAACCCTGTATTCCAATAACATTCCACCTAAAACATTATATAATACTTAATATATAAATTATATTTTTTCTTCATTTATTATTACATTTTTATACAAATTACTTGTTTCATACTTTGCCATTTTATCTGAACATGATAAACTTAATGTGGGATCTCCTCTACCAGGCTTTGTTCGTAATGGACCAGTTATATGATAGTCAGCTCCTGGTAATTTAGGATCTTGATATCGTTCAGTTTTTAAACACTTCGCACCTGTTCTGTGTATGTCTGCATTGGTTTCAATGACAGTTAACTCTAATGTCGTACTTTCTTGATCATTATGCATCGTCTTTCTAATTTTTGCGGGACATTCTTCCTCATCTATATCATCCTTAGGAAATATAGAACAATCTCCGCAAGGACTTTGACTGGAGAAAAAATGGAATGATACGCTAGGATACATTTCTAATTTATTTTCTTTGTTTAGAAATAAAATATTACTTTTAAATCCACTTAATACAATATCTATTTGATCGTACAAATAACGTAAGAAGGCACGTCTTGCAAGTATTTCTGCATGAGAATCGCTCAGTTTAGAACCTCTTTCATGTGGAGGAGTTTTAATTAATTCTAATCCTCCTAAACACTTTGTACCTGTAGCAAGCGATACTACAGATAAAGATTCACATTCTGTTTTTAAAATAATTCCAGATAATATCGTCCATTCGTTATCTGTTGGTTTTCCACTTTTTTTCAATGAATTGTATTTTTCAATACAAAGCGTTGCTATTTTATTAGGAAAATTGTTCATTGTGCTTTTTTAATACTTATTATATTAATCAATATAATGTAGTAAGTTAATATATTATTTTATTTAACTTAATTTGATTAATAAACATTTTGTGGATCCCATGCATATTTAATTTGTGGTAGACATGATAAAATTTTCATTTTTTCTTCATCGATAATAAAATTTAAATTTATGTTATCTCGTATATGTTCTTTTTTTATAGCCTTGGGAATAACACCTGAAAGAATAACAAAATAAAATTATCTTAGATATGATAATATCTAACAATAAATTATATTCGTAATAACAATTACTTATGCCTTGTTGTAAAGCCCATTTCAATAATAATCTTGCTGGAGATACATTAAGTTTCATAGCAATATCATTAACAACAGGATCCTTAAGAAGACTGGTATCGGTACTTGTACCCAAAGATGAATACGCTTGTACATGTATTCCTTCTACGTTACAAAATTTAATTAATTCTTCTTGACGATAATGCGGATGACATTCAACCTGTATTTAAGAAAAAAATAAATATATTATATACAGTGATTAAAATTAGTTTTAAGAATGTTGCATCTAACATACTTGATTAACTGCAGGTTTTACACCATAATGATTATTCAATAATTCTTTTAAATGATCAATAGTATAATTAGAAACACCGATGGATCTTATTAAGCCTAGTTTGTGCAGTTCAACTAATTTTTCCCAGGTACAAGCACGCAAATGTTTATTTTGTTGAGAATTTTCAGGAATGCGTGCAGCTCCAGGCCAATGTATCAAATATAAATCGATATAAGAAAGACCAAGTGATTTAAGAGATTTTAAAACCGATTGGTGTATACCTTCTGCATTTCCATTATCACTGGGTGCTTTATAAAAAAAAAATAAAATTGAATGTTTAATAATTATTGTTTCAATATAAACTTAATAATAAATAAAGCAATGGTTTATACCTAGTTTAGTAGTAATAAAGATATCTTTCCTTTGGAGATTATATTTAGACAATAATTCTTTTAAAGCGAATCCAATGTCTTCTTCATTTCTATACACTGCTGCTGTATCTAGGTAACAAGAATTAAACTTTATAAGAATATGAGAAATATTAAAAGTATAGAAAATAAGAAAATATATGATTCAACTTACCAATTGATCTATAACCTACTTTCAAGCTTTCATCGATTACCTCATAAATAGTTTCTCTTCCTTGTATTTTATAAGTTCCAACTGAAAATAAAACATAAAGCAAATAAAATAATAGCTAAAATACTACTTATTGTATGTTTTTCTAATGAAATATGTTACAGTTGATAAAAAAGAGTTATAAGTTATCACTATTATTATATTTTATTTTTAAAAAGCATTCTCACTTCCAATAAGTGGCATAGTATAACCACTCGAAAGATGAATGCATTCACTTAAAACATTCATATTCTAATTTTTATACTATTATAATTGTTTAAAAAGAGAAATTATATAAATGATATGCACCCAGTTTTAGATTCTGTAATCATGCAACATGTACCGTTTGATATAACAGTGATTGATAAAACTTCTCAAAAGAAATACTAGAGTGCGCTTCGATCAACTCAATCTTTCTCGAGGATGGATAATTTAGATTTATAATTTAAAAAAAATTATATATTTAATATTCATTATCAAAATTATATTTTTATAATAATTTTATAATAACTGATGAAATATACTAATAATAAAAATAAATAAAAATAAATAATATAGACAGAAAACCGTATCTATGGAATAATTCATCAATGATCTATAGAGTTTCTACGAAGCAGTTGGTCAATGATGTACCAGTATCCACAGAGTACTTTATCAATGTGCGAAGGTCAATAAACTTATTGCTAGTAATGTTGAAACGTTCAATATTTATAGATAGATTAATTTTGTAATGACAACGCGTTTACTTTAACAAATAATTACCCTGTCAATTATTACTTTTCTTACGTAATTGCACATTTTTAGATAAAATTTATGTTGTATACATTTTTCATCTATCTCTTTTGAATGTTGTTATTTTTCATAGCCATAACGGTAATAATAAATAAATAAAATTCATGAAACAAATCTTATTTGAAAGAAGACTAGGATCATATCTTACGTACATTCCCCCATCAATTTCAATAATTCAATATACATATTCCATAAAAAGTAAGATGGATTGATTGTATACGGTATACCCTACTCGATCATAAAGATTTAAATAGTAGGGACGTGACGGAGCATGGAAAGAGATGAGAAGCCATCGGAGAAGTTATTCATACATATAGGAGATACATAAGTTGAGGTACGAACAAGGAGACGTTCGTTAGAAGCTTCCTCGATAAACATCTCACGATGGCGTTTCCTCCAAACGTGTGTACGCGTAACTCGCGTTAAGCTTGTCAGAAAATTAGTAATTCTAAGCGGCGCATTCTTTCTCAATTGAACGACTGTGTCATCTGTACATACGCACTACGTTTACACACGTGTCCAACATACGCACGGATGCTAATTACTCGGCGCCGATCGTACCTATTTAAACTTCTTTTATTCTTTTCTTTCATTTTATTCTTTTCTTTTTATCAAATGTATGTATATATATTCACTTAATTATATGTAATATATAGTAATACATTTTTGAGAGTTGTACAAGAAAAAATCCTATAGATCAGTGGTGTCAAACTCATATATGATTATAGATTACCAAATTTAATTTAAGAAAGTATTTGACACTACTACTATACGTTTCGTAAGTTGATTCGTAGAATCGTTTTAGTTTAATTAAAGATACCTATTACAGTAGTTAATGAAACAACAAAGATCTTTTTGTCCCTTAGAATGATATAATCAAGCAGTATACTTATACATATATGCATATCATGTACGTACAATCTACATCGAAGCAATCGTATTAGATGGAACAGAGCAACTTCCTAATAATCACCTTTCTTCCATCGATACGTGCCAAGAATGTTTCTTCTTCCATCAAGTTTCCATGAAAGTTCCTTCGTTCGTCGTCCACGAAATCAGTCGATTCATCGAGCGATTTGCGTACGCATTTTTACAGTCCTCGAATGACTCGTAGTTACGTTTAATAAAAATACAAAAATTTCTTGTGGTGGAAGAAAGAAGAAGACAAGCGCGCGACTTCAAGCAGGTGGTACCCGCATTGTTCGCCAAAGTGGAGGAAAAAAGAACAAAATGGAAAAAAATATAAAATTAAATGCATTAAAGAGGAACAGGAACGAAGGGTAGCGTCGATTTATAACAAAGAAGGGTTATACTTTTTTTTTCTTATACTTACTTTAGATAAGCAAATTGGTATAATTATCTAGTAACCTTCACACAGTAACAGAGACTTGAACAGTCGATGTTACGATATTTCGTAATATAATGCACGATTCTTCTTAAGTATTTTCGTGCTAATTGGCTACGTACCGTGTTTCGATTAATTAGCTACCTTTTCACATTAAAACGTATCAATAAAAACGCCGATCGACATTTATTTTAAATTTATATAATCGTTCATAAATTCTCACTTAAAAGTGCTAAATCGAAGGATCCGAGTCAAATGAGTTCTTTCGTTTATAAGCTTTTTTTTTTCTTTTTTTTTTTTTTTTTATAACGTCGTTCAATGTTGTTACAAATAAAGAAGATAAAGTGTAAAAAAGCCAAAGGAAAGGCATCGGTTGAGTCGGTTATATTTTTTCAACGTTCTCGAGGATGACGAAGTAACAATATTCACATAACCGGTCTATAGCTTTTATACTCAGCACAGGTACTTCTGTGTATCACTTTCCGCGCATTGCAATGCGCTATCCTCGCATAACATCTTGTTCATTAGCGCTCGCGCGTCATTCGAAAAAGCTTGAAAACCTCGGGCCCGCCGATGAAGAGATGATTCGACGTTTCTTCTTCTTCTTCCTTCTGCGAAGAAGAATATGAAGGAGTAGAGTAGAAGGAAACGCGCGGTGAGAAGAACCGAAGCGATTAACGAAGTTACCGCCATCTTCAAAGCCCGTATGCCCATTCGAACACATCTCGCATCTGTACTTAAGACAAATTAAATGTATCTACCCCTGAGCGCTGATACTACTTTACATGAAAGAAAAAATATATCGTGAGAACTGTTTGATAAATTACATTTTGTGTTTTATTCATTCCAATGAAATAAGAACACTGAATATTAATAATAGTAACGTTTTGATCGAATTTAAATTGAAATTCTTTAACAGATTATTATTTACATTCATATTACATATATAAAAATTACAATGGGTCTTTAATCTAAATCTAACGATTAAAAATAAATAATATTATATTTGATAAATAAAGAATTCGTTCGAAAGCTGGAAATTATGTTAGACAATTAACTCTTCCTTCTTCTCGCGAGCAACTTCCGGGCGTTAAACTTAAGTTACGTTTTCGTTAGAAGACTCGATAGATCCGGTCGCGTGCGACGATTCTCGTAAAACCGCATCGTTTTAGCGAGATTGATCGTAGTGAGGAGTCACGCGAAGGGAAGTCTCTAATCGTTGATTATCGCGACGAGAAGTCTCCTCTTTGAACATGTGGAAAGAGAACGTATATTTCCGACTATACGTTTTCAAGAACGATTCGTGGACTTGCACCTGCGTTGTCAGTAAGCGCACCTGGAAATTCGTGGCCGACATCCCGTAAATCGTTTTAGTCTTTCCTCCTCATCGACTCGTTTCCATTCCCATACAAAACAAGTTTTTAATATTTTATTATTTTTTTTTTTAACATTAGCATATAACAAAAATGATACATGTATTATATTATATTATATTTATAAATTTTTAGATTTATAATAGATTCATCTTGTAAATGATGTCAAATTTTCCAGAAATCTAAAATACGTATATAAAGAAATAATAAACTATTTGATCGTACTCTATCTAAAAGCTTTTGCATGCAAAGCAGTCATAACGTCAGTGGTTCGTTCGTATACAATTCTTTGTTCAGTCGTTTAGACTGTATCTACATGAAATAATAAAATATCAAAGATCATGGAAATAATTAAATAATTTAATTTACTTTAATAATACAAGTTTTTGTTTTGAAAACAATAATTAATAATGAAAATTTCCAAATAATTATATTATTATCTATATTTTTATAATTTGTTAATACCAAATATAACATTAATTTCTTTTTTTTTTTCAGATCACTATTGCTATTGTATGCTGTCGTGTCTTTTTTATCTACAACAACATTGACCTACCTCATTTTAAATCTACTATAGATCGACCTACCTCAATTTCAACCTACAGCACAGACAAGTGTTTTGGAGTCGTCAAAGAACTACCGAAGTGGTAAGTGAACAAATCCATGTTTTTCTAAAACTCATTATGTCGAAAATGAAAGGTATAAATACTATTTTTTTATTTAATTGTTTTAATAACGCCAAATTTATCCATCGGCATTCGTATCGATCGAATCTTTGAAATCGATCATTTTCTTATAGATTTGAAGAAACCGGTAATGTAATTCTTTTAAATTTTTTAGTTAAATACTGGTTCAGTTAATTACTTAAATACTACTAAAAACTTTAGTTAAATACTAAAAACTTTGTTAAATAAAGTTTTACGCCATTTCAAAATCTCCGCATAAATGTTGATAACATAGTCCTTCACCATTAAATATTGAATTTTTATTGCTAATTTATTTGTTCAATTTTGTTTGATTGTCCTTTTTTTTTTTAACTTATTACATTGTAGTATTATCGTTCAATTTAAAAATATATTGAATAATATATTTGATATAATAATTATATCAAATGGTATTTATTAATATACTTTTATTATAGATGGTATGAAATTAAACGTCTCGCTCGAACAACGAATGTGTTAATATTAAATATTTAAAAAAATAAAAAATAAATTTTACATTCATCAAAAATAACATAACTAAATCATAACTTATTATTTTATCTAATCTAATACTTTGACTTTAACAATTTTAATTTTACTGACGTTCGTAAACTTTAGCGAGTATCGTGAGAACGCGTTCAAGTCAAGGGCCCTAAATAAAATTAATTGATAACGTGCGGGCGAAGAAAGAACGTGTAATCAAAAGGTCAGGTTCAATCAAGGAGCAAAGAGCAATTATGAATCGTAAGGGTCGATTCAGGTGAAAGAGAGAAAAATTAAAAGACAGTCGATTTTATTTCCTTACGATCTTTCACTTTCTCTCTCTCTCTCTCTCTCTTTCTCACTTTTATTTTCATTTCAGTAAGCATATTTAATTTAATCCTTTATAAAAATCATATAAATAGTTAATCTTATTATTAATAAGTTTTCTTATAGTAATTCGATCGATAGACAAAAACGTAGATTTATGTCATGAAAAAGTAAGAATTATAAAAGCATTCGCTTTATAGTATATTTTATATACATTCGTTTTCGCCAAGCCAGAGATGCGTATCGCCAGTGTTTCCGGTCTAAGGTGGGTCAACGTTGTTTACCTCAGAGTCTCCTCTTCGTTTCGTTTCTTTGCTCG